AAAAAGTGTCATTGGCGAGCTATGACGTAGGCCATATGCACATGCAAAATGTGTGCGAGAAGCGGGAAGTGCTATATCATGAACAATCACATTTTTCGCGTGATGGAGATTTATAGGCCTAGTATTTTATATAAATTTATGCATGAAGAACATTTTTTTTTATAAAACCTCAATTGTTGTGGAAAAATATGATTCAGTTAAGACATTTTTTTATACAAACTGCTATGCAAAGTATGGGTGACATTGATTCTCCCGTTAAAGAGTTACAGTGTATTTGAGGAAAAGTTGCGCCTCGAATTTTTGACCGCACTATTGTTACACGACACCTGCGCGCAAAAGTAGTCCAGTTATACTAATGTTGCTTTATTATTAATGTGGACAGGCGTATAATATGTAATGCGCTTGCAAATAAACTTTAATTCGTCTGTGCTTAGTTCACTCCCCGACGTTCTGTCAAGTCTCTACAATAGTTTGTTTTGCTTTCCATCTACCTTTTCCAAGCTGTCTTCTTTTTCCTTTCTTTTCGTGTTATTGTTATGTGTCACTGAATGTGAGTTGATCTTGCGTCTTGCGCGCTATCAAGACTGAATGCGTGCTCAGGCGTGTTCTCTCAAGCAAAAGTGAGTAAATTTCCGGCGTTTACGAACGTCATTAAATGGGGCTAAGGGGCCTATTTATTTTAGGTCGCAAAGCTTAAAAATGTAGTCACGTCTGCCCGCAGAATGCGCCTGAGCACACACACTATTATCCTTCTCATTTTTGTCCAAAACATTCCCTTTGTGTAAATTGGTTCATCTCTCTCTTTCTCTCACGACCCCCTCCCCCCCCCCCAATCTCTCTCTCTCTCTCTCTCTCTAACACACACACACACAAACACATACTCACACTTTGTCTCCCCCTCTCTCTCCCGCTCCTTCTTACTTTCTTTCTTTCTTTCTCACTTCCTTTGTGTCTGTTTTTCACACTCATACACACACACACACATGCACACACTCACACACACACTCTCTCTTTCTTTTCTCTCTCTCTCTCTCTTTCTCTCTCTTAGGCTTAGTAAGTTAGGGGCCTATTTATTTTAGGTCGCAAAGCTTAAAAATGTACTCACGTCTGCCCGCAGAATGCACCTGCGCACACACACTATTATCCTACTCATTTTTGCCCAAACCATTCCCTTTGTGTAAATTTGTTCATCTCTCTCTTTCTCTCACGAACACCCCCCCCCCCAATCTCTCTCTCTCTCTCTAACACACACACATACACACACACACACAGACACACACACAAAAACACACACACATACTCCCACTTTTTCTCCCTGATCTCTCTCTCCTACTCTTTCATTACTTTTTTACTTCTTTCTGTCTGTTTTTCACACTCACACACAGACACACACACACACACGCACACACACACACACACACACACTCATACACTCTCTCTCTCTTTTCTCTCTCTCTCTCTCTCTTTCCCTCTCTCTTTCTCTCTCTCTCTAAATGTCTCTCCCTCCCTCTCTTTGATTTCTTTTATTGACACATAACAACAACTTGGGTGCAGACGTGAGCAAATTTCACATTCTGGTTCACCCACGGCCACTGGATACCTCACAATCGTATTCAGATATTTTAAACATTCTCCTTGCAAACTCCTAATGTCAGGAGCTTCGTTAAACTGGCCGTTTTCCTCCAGTATTTTTGCAAAGTCCAGATGCATGCACATATCTGCGTATGGTCCCGTAACACCACGCCTTAGCGCAGGTAGGACGTACGGTCCCCTAGCGCCAAACACTATGGGGGCGTACGGTCCCCTAGCGCCAAGCGCTATTGGGGCGTACGGTCCCCTAACACTAACATCAGCCTCCATTATTATTATAATTATATATAGATCTAGAATCTAGGCCTATTTCAATATGAATAAGATCAAGGATATAGAGTCTTAGATCTAAGATTAAGATCTAAATCTAGAATCTAGATCTAGATATAGTATACATTTTTTTTCTATTTGGAGAGAATTTTCTGTGCTTTTTCGGTAGTTCCCACCCCCCTTATTTGAGCCTGACCTACATCTAGATCTAGATTCTAGATCTATACGTTTGATTCGCGGTGAGCTAAGATCAAACCTAACAGCAGCAAAACATTAAATTGTAGTAAAATTCAGGGGGGCATGCCCCCCTGAAACCCCCCTTCCTATTTTTGTTAGGTCAGGGGGGCAAGCCCCCCCTGAAACCCCCCTACTCTTGGGGCCAAAACCCGTTTATAACAATTGTGGGGTGGGAACTACCGAAAAAGCGCCGAATTTTCTGTGCTAGGTCACTGAAATTATTCCTACCCATGAAGAAAGTGGCTATTCTCACCCGCCCGGAAGCTCTCGCAAGATAAACTCCTCCCCTCTTCTCTCTCTCTCCGTCTCTTTCTAAATACTGTCTATCGGTGTGGACGATCAAATTGACCAAAAAAAGGTTTAAAAATGGGGGTAAAACACAAAAGTAAATAAATTTGGGGTG